TGGAAATCGCATATTCGCTTATGTGTGGAAACACTCTCATCCGTCCTCCTCAATCTTAGGCTTGCACTTTTGTGGACCCCTGTGGGAATCGTCGATCAGACCTCTCGTAAATTGCCGGCATAAAGACCCCAGCGCAGTCACGTGCAGTCACTTCCAGACGTCCGTCGCTGACCATTTATTGACACGACGCCGTATAATTGCTCCCGTTTACGTTCCTGTTTCTGGTATCTGACGACCCCTGACGTCACTGGCAGTTAATTAGCAAGTAGCCCCTTCTTTTTGCTTGCTGTTTCTTACTTCTGACAGTTGATTGGCGTATATTCATTACCCTCTTTTGGTTGCTGTTTTTTATATTCTAAGATGGACTCTTGTATTAATTCGAAAGCTCAGGCCAATAAACCAATTGCTCCAGTGCTCGACAGCCTTTTTTTCCTACAGAAAGCGTGGTCGGTTTTGCTCGTCTCTCAATCATATTCTATCTACGTACCCTCCCAGGATATCTGTTTTCCGCAGGGTCAAAAGGAGCTTTTATCGAAAGAAAACCTCGCACGAACTTTAGCAGTTTCGTACTCATTCAACTAAAACGAAATCTAGTCAGCTGCTTGGCATTAGAAGCTAGAGAACATTGTTCAGTAGGCATTATTGAGAAGTGTTTAAAACAATCTAGAACCTGTTTCGCGAAAATTGACATACACAGAGGTAAATTACAAATAATATTGTTGAGAGGAAAGTAAAACCCACTACACTTACTGTTAAAAAGAAAGCGCTGTTTCTCAACCTCCCCTTCCAAGACGATGCAGGAAGTGAACTCCTGGGAGGATGCCTTGACAAAGTGGTGTCACAAACCTTCCTGGCAGGAAGAGTTCGGGAATTATTTTCAACTAATCCGGTCTTGCATGCGAAAGGTAAGGCTAGGTTGCCAGCTCAGACCACCTCCATATGCATCTACGCGTTTATTTACTTCTGTAGAGAAGGTAATATTGATCACATTGGTCAGCGTCTATCCAAAATATAAGCAAACACCTCCTGACATGGCAGAAAAAGTGAAGTCGGGAGCATAAACAGCGCTGTTCTCGCGCATAGTGTTGATTCAGGACATCATGTGGATTACGGCGAAGCCATCGGGATGATATATAGGATGACATAAAAATACCCCAAATTGCCTAGGTTAGCATTGGCTAGCAGCAGGAGAAGCAATCGCTATCAGGTTAAGGATGTCGGTCCTGTGTGCGCAAAAGCACCTCCTACAAGCTCTAAGTCTGGCATGGCCAACGGTCGCTTACCTGCAAGAACTCTTCCGCTACCTCTCTCTCCTCCAGTCTCCCCCGCATTGGCCTCAATAAACCCTTACCGCCACGTAATCAGCCTTCTCTTTTCGACCTTCAGCTCTCCCTATTCGCATGACCCACTTGGATAAAATGACGAACGTAATTGACTGAATGTTTTACTTTTGATCCCGTATGCTCAAAAACTGCTCTTTCAACTTTTTATTACTCTGCAGAGCAGTTATTATGCAAGTATATTTAATGAATCCTGTGGCATTTTTATACGCAGGTTGCTTCGTTGTAGACTCCATGTAAGGAGAATCCAGCATGGATTCCCATAATCTTCTATTATTTTTTCAGCTGTGTTATGCATATTGGATGTCAGAGGTGCTGTTTTAATGGCTTGCGTTTGCCCAAATAAGGTACGATGTACAAATAAATTTACAGGGGAATAACTGTTACAGTCGGAAATGGATAGCTTTGTGGTGGGTCGGAATTTGGAGTCAAGGGACCACCATGGTGGCCGCACAACGGCCACCAATGACCCCAGCGGAAATGTTGCCGATGCGGGCAACTGCAATGGGCACCTCTGCACCATTTCCTGTCATCAGTCAAAAACACCACAAGCCGGGCGTTCACCGGACGTTTGCATCTCACCCACTGAACTAAAACTGCCGACCAGCACTCTGGTTGACAGCCCCCAGGATGCAGGTATGCCAAAGGCTGATATTAAGTTATTGCTTAATGCTGACAGCCCCTAGTCTATAAATCACTATTTCAGTGTCACTAGACCCCGCCCGCGGAAATCCCTGGAATTAAATTCAACCCATTGGCACCCGAGGCACTTCATCTAGGTTCACTGTTGTTTCCTGGCAAACTCTGTTTGTTCGCAGTTGATCCAACTGAAAAATCGTACACTCTACTGCCTAGATTACGTGAAAGGTCATGTTCTTCTGTGCAATCGCACTGTGCAGTTCTACGAAAATAGGTTCGACACAGTATTTTTGCCTGTTAGGAAACGTGTTTTTTGCTTGCTTGGTGAAGCTTGTGCTACATTTCGCGGCAGAATCTATTTGGCTAACGAAAAGGATCTGCAAAAAAACAAATCATTTACGGGATTATACATGAGGGGAATGTTTCGTCAATTTGTACATTTGCCTTGGAAATTATGTACTTTTAAAGAAAGCTACTTGACCGGAAAAAAGTCACGCGAGGCTCTGGTGGCGTTGTGAGTTGTAAAGTACAATTGATATGCTATCTCATTAAATTTCCATAAATATTCTGAAGTATGTTGTCGATTTCATCGTACTATTAATTTACCTACCGCATCAGAAAGCTTAATCACGTCAGGACGCAATCTGTTGGACAGGCTTCATTTCAGCCGATTGCAAACGCTTTGCCTTCTAAGAAGTGAATATTAGTCTAATCATAATTTCCCGCAAATGTTCGATGCTTTTATGAATTTGTATTTGTTTTTTAACAAAAATACGCGAACACTTTTGCGTTGTACTGATTTGGTAGCAAACTGGTCTTCTCCCAAGTAATTACTTCACTAAAAGACAGATTTGGCTATAAATGTTTCTGCCTAAGCCCAATATTAAGCCCCTGGAAAGCCCATTCATAATTTATTGTATGTGTCCATTAATAAGTGTCTCTTTTTGAGTAAACAGAATGTTGCATCTCAACTGAACAATATTATGAGCTTTCGAACTCTCACAGGAGTCCATCTTCAGAGATGAGAAGTAGCAACCAAAAGAAGGGTAATTATAGCGGCCACAGGCCAATCAACTGTCAGAACTCAACAGGTTGTCAAGGTGCTAGAAACAGCAGTCAAGACGGATGGGGTAGAATTAAAGTGGTGTATACTAATTAGCTGTCAGTGAAGTCGGGGGTCATGAACAGCAATTAGTGACGCCTCATCCCCATGGTAGAGGGTCCTGGTAACCCTGCCTCCTCTTCCGGCCGGTTTGTTGTGTGGTCCTCTTCGATCGCCATTTTTACGTTCGGTTCGGCCTTGTTTTGTCCTTTGCCCACATAGTGGCGCAAGATTTGTAGGCCGCGAGCAGGTCCAGATGCGTGTTGACGGAGTTGGCATCTGAGTACCTTGCCTCAAGCGTCAGCGTTTCGGCTTTTCAGGTTCCCCTGCCTACCATAGTCGCTCCTTGAAGATAGAAGTCGGGGGCAGTCT